GTAAGACGGAGGCCGACGGCCGCGTGGTGGAGGGGAACCCCCAAAAATCCCCAAAAATCCCCAAAATTTCCAAAATTTCCCCTTCCCAGGACCCCCAAACTGAGCCAAACTGGTTCATACTGGTCTGAACTGGTTTCTACTGGTTTGAACTGGTTTCTCCTCTTCCCTAAACAATTCCCAGCTCCAAATTTCCATCGAAAAAGCCCCAAAATTCCACTTTTTTTCCCCTTTTTTTTCTCTATTTCAGTCGTTTTTTACCCAATTTTTTCCGATTTTTTCCCAATTTTTCCCAAACTGCTCCAAACTGGTTCATACTGGTTTTTACTGGTCCATACTGGTTTTTACTGGTTTCTACTGGTTTCTCCTCTTCCCTAAACAATTTTAATCCCCAAATTTACACCAAAAAAGCCCCAAAATTCCCCTTTTTCCCCGTTTTTTCTCTCTATTTCAGTCATTTTTCACCCGATTTTTTCCGGATTTTTTCTGAACTGGTTTTTCCCATTTTTTACTGGTTTTTCCCATTTTTTCCTATTTTCCCAGCACTGTTTCGAGCTGTACATCCCCAACAGCAAGGGGCAGCTGACCAAGGCGTGTAAGACGGAGGCCGACGGCCGCGTGGTGGAGGGGAACCCCCAAAAATCCCCAAAAATCCCCAAAATTTCCAAAATTTCCCCTCCCCAGGACCCCCAAAATGGGCCAAACTGGTTCGTACTGGTCTGAACTGGTTTTTACTGGTTTTTAATGGTTTGTACTGGTTTCTCCTCTTCCCCAAACCATCTCCAGCTCCAAATTCCCACCAAAAAAGCCCTAAAATTTCTCTTTTTTCCCGTTTTTTCTCTCTATTTCGGTCATTTTTCACCCGATTTTTTCTGGATTTTTTCCAAACTGGTTTTTACTGGTTTGTACTGGTTTGTACTGGGTTTTCCCCCTCCTAAATCATCTCCAGCTCCAAATTTCCATCAAAAAAGCCCCAAAATTCCGCTTTTTTCCCGTTTTTTCTCTCTATTTCAGTCATTTTTCGCCCGATTTTTTCCGGATTTTTTCCATACTGGTTTATACTGGTTTTTCCCATTTTTTCCCATTTTTTTAGCACTGTTTCGAGCTGTACATCCCCAACAGCAAGGGGCAGCTGATCAAGGCGTGTAAGACGGAGGCCGACGGCCGCGTGGTCGAGGGGAACCACGTCGTTTATCGGATCTCGGCGCCCACGCGGGAGCAGAAGGACGAGTGGATCAAATCCATACAGTGAGAGATTCCAAAAATTTATAAAAATTAATCCAAAATTATCCAAAATTATCCTAAAATTAAAAAAAAATATCAGGGGTGGTTAAATGGGAGTTTGGGGCTGTTAAATGGAGAGAAAAGGGAAAAAAATGGGATTTTCAGGATCAAATCCATACAGTGAGAGATCAAAAAATTTATAAAATTTAATCCAAAATTATCTAAAAATTAAAAAAAAATCATGGAAAAAAATTGGGAGGGGGTTTGGGGCTTTTAAATGGGGTTAAAAGCTGAAAAAAATGAATTTTCAGGGCATTTTGGGATCAAATCCATACAGTGAGACACAAAAATGATCCCAAAATTATCCCAAAAATTAAAAAAAATATTAAAAATTTATAGAAAAAAAAAATGGGGGGGTTTGGGGCCATTTGGGGCTTTTAAATGGGGAGAAAAGGGGAAAAAATGGGATTTTTAGGGGTTTAAATGGGATTTTTAGGATCAAATCCATACAGTGAGAGACTCAAAATTACCCCAAAATTATCCCAAAATTAAAAAAAATTAAAAAAAAGATTAAAATTTAAAAATATGGGTATTGGGGGGGTAAAATGGGGTTAAAAGGGGAAAAAAATGGGATTTTTAGGGGGTTTTGGGATCAAATCCATACAGTGAGAGAGTCAAAATTATCCCAAAATTAACTCAAAAATTAAAAAAAATAAATTAAAAATTTATATAAAAAAAAATTGGGGGGCTTTGGGGCTCTTAAATGGGGAGAAAAGGGAAAAAAATGGGATTAAAAGGGAAAAAAATGGGATTTTTAGGCAGTTTTGGGATCAAATCCATCCAGTGAGAGACCCAAAAATGCCCGAAATTATCCCAAAAATTAAAAAAAAAAAACAAAAATTTATATAAAAAAATATTGGGGGGGTTTGGGGCCGTTTGGGGCTTTTAAATGGGGTTAAAAGGGAAAAAAATGGAATTTTTGGGGCATTTTGGGTTCAAATCCATCCCAAAAATTCCCAAAATTCCCTCAAAATTCCCAAAAAAACCCCGGAACCCCCAAAAATCCCCCCCAGGGCTGATTTTGGGTCCGTTTTCCGTGGATTTGGGGCTTCCTGGGGGGGATTTTTTGGGGATTTTTTTTTAGGGTTCCCTGAAGGGTTTGGGGTCCCCAAAATTCCTAAAAAATTCCCAAAAAATTCCCAAAAATTCCCAAAATTTTCCTTAGGGCGGCGGTGAGCGTGGATCCCTTCTACGAAATGTTGGCGGCGCGGAAAAAACGAATTTCGGTGAAGAAAAAACCCGAAAATCCCTAAAAAATGGGAAAAAGGGGGCGGGACCCCCGGAATTCCCACCTTGGAAATCCCCAAAAATGGGGAAATT